TATTACCTTAGCACCAGGTCCGGATCTGCAAAGTTCAGATTCTTCCAGGTGGGTGTTGTTTGGATCTGGCTGCTGTGCTCCACTTCTTTCTGCTGCAGGCGTTAGAGTTGAACCCTTTGTGTCTCTCTGGGAAGATGTTCTGCTCCTGAATCAGCTGGGTAGGTCTTGCCTCAAGCCTCTTTGTAGGGAGTTCTGCTGAAGGGTTCCATGCTGGACTCACCAGGCCTCCGTTCCGGGTCTGTTCAGAATTCTGCGGGTCATCTCGCTCACTCCCCGGCCTGCACTTTGGGTCTGTTCAGGGTCCCGTGGCCTGGGTCGTCTCACTCACTCGCTGGGCCTGCGCTCTGGGTCTGTCCACTTGTTACTGTTTTTAAAAAGTTTAACCACTTATATACTCTAGGTCTAAAATAGATTACAGACTATTCTAATAAGTAGAGTTTCAGAAAATAGATTTAAGTAGCTGGTGTCCTTGCAGGGATTTGTGAACCAAAACAAAAGCCGAGATGGGCAATTTAGTCGTCCAGACCCACTTCCAGACCATCTAGCTGCCCTGCGAGGTGTGTGGCATAATCTGAAGATGGGATTTTAGAAATCTGCCTCTAGTCCTCTTTCTCAAAAGTGCTCAGATGAACATTCTGGGTAATGAAAGGAGTTGCCAGTTTTCATACAGTTCTCTATTTAACAAAATGAATAATTTTAAATTGTAACACTAATCACTTTGTGTTGTAGGAAAAAAAATGTGTGTGTGTGCGTGCGTGCACACACACACACACACACACACACACACACACATACAACGCAGCCGGGTAATTCGTCTACTTCAGTTTCTTAGTTGCCCAAGTAACAGTTCCTGTTTCAGATCGGAACGCTCATATCTTACAACATTTGATCCCTGTGATGCATAGCTGGTCACTATGATGCACATTGTGTAAACCAATCCCCAATTGACCAGCCCTTCTGCCTCTGTACTTCCTGCTTGCTTATCCAATAAAAGCCCTAGACCACCAGAGATATCAGGGCCTGATATTCTAGGAATGATCCTGATCAGTGATCTCAGTATGAACAATTCTGACTCCAAATCCTAGGTGTCCTTTTGGTGTTTCTACTTTGCATCTGGTGTGTCAGCCGGGAAAACTGACTGTGCTAACCTCTTTAGTCACTGTTTATGACCACCACAGACAGAGCAAGGACCTCTCCAGATCCTGCCAGGAAGGCATATACTCCAGAACCTTCCTGTTGGGATCTGCTCAGAGATCTAGGGGAGGATTCCTGGCTCCCTACTTGAGTAACTCACATCAGACCCCAAAGGGGAAGAGGACACAATCTATCTGTCTCTCTTGTCTATCTGCCTTCCTGATTCCAGTGTAACCCCCAGGGGCAACTTGCTCAATTCAAGTGGAAGATCCTGATTCACTCTTATTAAAGGCATCCCTCAAGGGGAGAGGCTTGGAATGATTACTCTGTGAGCCTAATGGACAGCATAAGCAATAGGTTGCTTCATCTGTGCACCAAGACTGGGAAGCACTGGTCTCAGTGACTGATTGAGCCCTCACCTGCAGTCCTGTGGCAATCGACATATAACAGAGGCTTCGAATCCTCCTTGCCTAAGTTGCACCTACATTCCTGTGAGGGGCATGGCCAGGTGGACATGTGAACGTGCTCTCTCTCTGAAGGGCACCCACCGTTTGTTGTATCATTGTTCAACGGTACACAACATTCACAGTAGAAAGATAGAATAGCAACTAATTAGTTGAAACCCACAGTCCCTGACTACAGGAAAAGGGGCTTTGGCAGAGTTAGAAATGAAATGAAACCACTCCTTGCATCACAAAGAAAACAAAAGGAAAGAGGCCCATTCTTCCTGAAAATTCTTCCCTGGCACTCTTGGCTGCTGCAGTTGCTGCTAACATCTGTAGCCTCACTCCCACTCCCAATTTGTCTACTTCCAGCTGACTGGACCAGCTGTAGTTCCTTACCTGCATTTGGCTATAGGGGCCAAAATGCACCTACCCTGGTGAGACAGCATCATTTAATGTCCACCTGAGATGACTGTCAGCAATTCCTTCTGAGTTCCACATTTTGAGAAAAATTGGGCTGTCAGCCCTGACAAATGAGTTGCACCCTGTTGGACCTAAGTAGATAGGACAGACCATGGCATATCAACTCTGGCACCCAAGAGCCCATGGTCATTGCAAACACGTGACTTTCCTGTTGATGATAGAACAGAATTCTCTGTCTTCAAAAATTTCCTCTGTCAAAAAGTTACTATTGCTGGGTCAACTGGGACTCTTGCCTCTCATGAGACCTTTCTGCCAGGTACAGACTTGCAGCCTGGGAGGACAATTAACCTCACTCTTGTTTAACCTGCACATTCAACTTGGACCTTTCCTGGAGAGTAAAATGATGCCTGCATCAGCCTGAGATGGATAACTGCAGTTCTAGAGTTCTGAAAACACTCCTCCCAGATGTATAAAAACTCACCTTTGAGCCTGGACATCAACCATGCAACCCGCCCCCCCCCACAACCCCCATTGGTATATGTCACAGAAAGCCCAAACAGGCATCCAAGCACACATAAGCTTGAAAGACTGTTAATCATCTTAGGCAAGAACTCTGTTGTCAACAAGGCAGGAAAAGATCCCTTCCTCTGCCTTCAAGTTGCTCCCATAAGCCCCTTCGACTGAGATAAAAGACCAACCAGTTCACTTGGATTCAGTTGTCTAAGGAGATAAAATCTCCCACCTTGGTTCCGCACCTGTGTCCTTCATGACAAAAAGCCATCTTAGCCATCAAAACAAACCCACAAGGCTGTCTGAGAAGCTCTCAGA